CGTTGCTACATACAGGCCTATACGTACATATACCCCAGACTGCAGCGGTATATGAAGGTCTATACATACATACATATACCCCAGACTGCGTTGCTACATACAGGCCTATACGTACATATACCCCAGACTGCAGCGGTATATGAAGGTCTATACATACATACATATACCCCAGACTGCGTTGCTACATACAGGCCTATATGTACATATACCCCAGACTACAGCGCTACATACAGGCCTATACATAAAGTTTATAGATAGACAAGTGTGGGGGGGCTTTAAGAACATCGACATGCAATGTCAATGCCTTAAAGAACTTAATAGTAAATCTTTTAGTACTCTTCATTTGCAGTACGCCATACAATACTTTTTCAAAATAACTTAGTCAATGGAAAAAAAGCAGGTTGCTTAATTTCCATCTGTACAGACATACTCATTCTTGATGATTCAGATAGCCTGCACTTGGGCCCATTTAGACGGCTGGATGTTGAGAGCAAAGCTCAGATTGCAAAACCCACTTTAAATTCAGCACTTCCCCTTCTGGATTTTAAACTCTAGTTTAAATCCGGTTTCTCAACCACTATCACTTTCCGTCTCTATATATACAGCAGTGAAACAGCAGTCTACCTATTTATGATCTCCAATAAAAATTCAAGTCGCTATAACGATTTATGTTCAATTAGAACATAATTAGAATAGACTCTCTGCAGAAATATTCCAAAATTAGCATATTTCCCAGAATACATTTGCAAGGAGTGCATTAATCTTAAAAATGCCTCTGGTTACATCTGAAAAGAACCCCACTGTTTTTACGAGACAAGAAGACCTAGTAAGAAAGAGGATAATTTAATTTCCTAAAATACGCAAAACATGCAGTACTATCAACAAGAACATTAATCGTTCAATTAAAACGTTTGCTGGCTGTTTTACATAAAGACGGAGCGGTCTCCATGGTATTCACAAACATGTCGGGGAGAGGATTGTAAGAATACTCCATGTAAATTCATTTGACAACATAATTGCCATATATGCCTAAAAAATAAACGCAACTACTTAACAGCGAGCAGCAGCACGAGAAAGGGACTGCGCGAGGCGGGAGGGGTGCGTCCTGTAACCTGATTGGCTCTCGATGACATCACCCTGGACGCGCGCTCCGTTGCCCACATGTCGTCACCGCTTTCACTGAGTTGAGCTTAATAACTAAAAGGTTTCGACGTCTACGAGAATCGCCGAAATGATGGGCATCGCTCCACCCCCGATCTCGAGCCCATGCAGCCATGAATGTACGAGAGACTGGAAAAGCCAGCAAGTTGTGTCTTCATGCAAGCGGCATCTCTCCTCTGCCAAAGTCAGGGACGCTGTCCAGCTCCGACCTTGCTGAAGAACATCGTCCCACTAACACAAGCCAGCCAACATCACTAGGCTCCGGCAGGCTGAATACAGTTTAACACGATTTTTTAAAAGCCGGCAAGATCCTGTAAATGTATAGATCGTTCTCAGCAAGGCGAAGGTGGGCGCGCTAAGCGATTCGTTTATTTTTCTGAATAAAAACTACACGGATATCACGCCGTCCAAGAAGGAGGCAGGATCAAGGCAAACACACATTACTCTCCTTTAAAAGAAATTTAATTTCGATGCACATACGTATGTGTTATCTACCTTTAAAAATACAAACGAAGCCACATAAGTGCCCGAGTTTATAAGACGAGCTAGGAACAAAGAGCCGCCTGACTACTTCAACAAAAATCTGACATTCAAAAGAAATAAACACATATCTTACCATGCTTTTGTGTTTTAGTCGGGGTTTATCATCCAAATCCCAAAATCAATCTCGACTTATTTGTAATCCTTTTAGTAGGGCCTATTCCTGTTCATGATTCCAATAATAAATTCGCCAGCAGACAGGCCTGCAGCAAAAATTTCATTTAAAAACTCCAAACAGGCGCTTTCAAAAACTTAAAGATCTTCACAAATCCACAAAACAAAACCTTTGCTGTGGTGCGTTAAGTTTTCCAAGGCCGAGTGTCCTGCGAAGTCATTCCAAGGAAAAGGGAAAAAAGGGTCATTTAAGAGTTTCACAAAGAAAATCCCGTAAAGGTCTCATGCGTTTTGTGTTTTCTTAAAAGTAGCAGCGCTGCTACTGAAGCTATGGCAATAAACGTGAACAGATATATAACTATATCTCGTTTTCCTTTTCAATTGTAAAATTTCATGCAAAGTCAAATCTTTCAAACTAACTGTCTCGTGTTTAGGGTATTGTGTTTGCCCAAAGCTGAATTTTATTTGTATAGTCACTTGTAAATTGTATTGACGCATTGTTTTTATACATTTGTGTATTATTATTATTATTATTATCCTTATTGATTAAGTATTGGCAAAAAACTACATCCGATTCTCTTATATATCTTATATCCTTAATCATTCCGAGCCTGATTGACGGGTGGCGAAGCATCTCAGTCGTGGAAGTTTTACAGCAACGTATTGGACAAAGGCCATTACATTTCATGAAGGAATTTCGTTTTTTCCGCTTTATGTGCAGACCAATCGTAAGTGCTCGATCTCTTATGATGAATACAAAGTAATTTACGTTAATCTGACATTCAATTATGAGCAAACATTTTAAAAATACATTGGTAGGGCAAAGTATCTGAACAAAAGACTTAACAATGAATGCGATTCTTGGCTAGGGACACTATGAGGCTATCTACAGCATCAACATCTAAGCAATACACTAATGCAGTTTACATTTTAACGGCACTAAATACTATCTAATGTGTTCGTCTTCGTCTTCCCAAAAGACCAAAGTAATTAAAATTTCTTACAACTTGCGCTTAGATGGGTAGCCTTTGTTTAGTGACACATATTAAATCAAATAAAATCGAGATAAAGCCTACATTCAGTTAGGTAATACATGTAGTATTTCACATCTTAATATTGCACAACCGGCTATTTAGTTCAATATTCACATTTTCAGTACGAGGTTTATGCTGAACACTGTGCCTTTTAAGTTCTGCAACAAAGGACTGACTACCTGTTGCACTTTCACGAGAATTTACGGAGTTCAATGTCCATTTTTGTTGGCATTTTTGTTTCACTTTGGTCGATCTTGTTCTACTTAGCCCGCGTTAATTATAACTTTTAAACAATTACAACTTTGGAAAAGAATTACGCATTCAACTACACGTGATTCTATAGTTTATTCAAACTATTAGCATACTACCTAAACACGTAACTGTACAGATGAATGGTGATAATAACTAAATCGTCTTTTTTCGATAATTTACTGCGCTAGCTTTAATTAATCAACTCGTCGCGCGTCCTAACTTTTGACAGCTTTGTATGATAACAGGCAACAACCAAAGTCTTGTACCGCGAACTTACCCGGTAAATACAGGTTTTCCCAAGTTCATTCGTTGCATCTTCGTAGATTCAGCAGAGGTTTAGGGCAACCGAGAAGGCAGTTGTCCATCCATGATCTCCCTTCAAAGCACTCGGCGGAACAAAGGAGCGCTCTTCCCCGCTTTGTGCTTAACTTTGCGAGCTGACGCACCAACTCTGCGCAACTTTTGCATTAAAAACAAATCCACGATTTGAGCCAAAAAGCAGAAAAAGATCTTTCTTACAGTAAGTTACTGCCGATGTGCATAAACATAAATGTCCACGAAGCATGGGCACGGCTGAAAAAGTTTGCCCGTGAGTATTTTGGTTGTGTTGTTTGGTCCCTTTGTCTGCACGTGTGAAGGGGGTTCCTGACCGCGCCTAGTTCATCTCAGTTTCAGTCCCGCCCTCCAAATACAACTAAACAACGGCGGAGAGTGAAATAACGCAATAAGTGTGCATATGCAAGAAAAATAAAATCAAAACCTCATATCTGGCCTTATTCATGTTCCGTTCTTAAGTTTTACATTTTACCCGAACACAATAGCATAGTTCAGCCGTTACTTAGGAAACTCTTTGTCCTGCGCCTTAGGATCCAACAAGAAAAGTGGATATCCCTCCTAACATTTAAACAGACGCGGTCTATCAAATCGCAGAGAAAAATCTCGAAAAATCGTTTTTATAACATAATTTTCTTTATTTGGTTTTGGAAAGTAATGAAGCTTTTGTTGTTGCGTCTCTGTGGGGAAATCCATGTGATTCTATTGTGTTGCTTTCATAATACATTCGTATACCATTATATAAAATGTCACGATTCTTTAAAATAGGCAAATTGTACGCAAATGATACTAATAAATGAACTAGACAGTTTATGGACGTGTCTGCTGAGTTGTGCACGTACTGTTACGTTTAAGGACTTGGGGGGGCACGCGCGTACGCGTGTTATGTCGTAGTCAATAATCAATACAGAAATAAATAAAACCCAAACAGTTCTCCAATAAATAACAGTGATTTCGCGTCCGAACCTTCTGCACCCTATTGATATTTACGAAGACAACAATGATATTCATCGTAATGGTGGATCGTTGGTCATATTTACAATTCAATCATACCTCTTATAAGTACGCGTATTTCCAGTTCGATGTTTATTAAGGATTTCTTCGTCTTCGTCATTCCAGATTTTTATTAACTTGGCTTTTTTGCCTTTACCCACACGTATCCACGCCAGTATTTCAGTCTAATTTAAGTGTAAATAGTCATTTGTTTTCAGTCGCGTTCCATAAAAACAACAGAAAAACGTCATGACTTGTTTAAACTTTAGTCAAAACATTATATTTGTCTGTTCATACATCGATAAGGAAACTAAAACGCGAGCAATGCATCGCTGGGCTGTGCTCTATATTTAGTTGCAAAGACGCAAAATTATGCATCAAATGCTTTTAAAAAGACGCTATTTGCTCCCTGTTGCAAAAAAGAAAAAAAAAAGTCGAGGCCCCGGTGCGGTATATTGTACTGAAAAAAATACTGTCTGGGAGACAGTTCTGTTTCTTTTGTTCACTTTCAAATACACATTCAATTGTGTGATTCAGTACTACGTTGCATTATTATTACCAGGATGAGAACTAAGAACGACCACTTCTTGTATATGCTGGAAAAAAAGGGCAATGCAATATCAGATTAGTACATAATGCATATACAGCCCAAAAATACACCATCCATACATCTTCTGATCACTTATCCTGGTTAGGGTTGGCACCTGTCACGGGTTGCGAAGGGGTCAAGGTTGGGGTCCACGCTGGACAGGATGCATCACAGTACCCCTCATACCTTGATACAAATCTTTGCCTCCACACGCTCACACACTTGAAGAATAGCTGATGCAATTATAACAACATATTTTGTTCTTACCCCTTCTGGTCTCAAGTCATTCATTTTTTTTTTGTTGTGGCCCAGTGGTGTATATATACAAGTCAATCTTTCAAACTAAAGACAAATGTGTCTCTGTGGCCATATCCAAGTCCTGGCCCATTTCTCCAATATTTTGCCAGTAAATACTAAATACTAGTTAGCCTACCAATATAGAGGGGCAGTGATGCTGCTTGTATCTAGACCAGGGTCTCCAACTGCAGTTCCGGAGACCTACTCACTCGAGTAGGTTTTCTATTGTACCTGGCCTCTCATGAGCCACACCAGGTCTCAGGTAAATCCCAGGAGCAGGTGTAGGTCATCAGAAGCCAGGTAGGATAGAAAACCTACTGGACAGTAGCTCTCCAGGACCGGAGTTGGAGACCCCTGATCTGGCTAATCTGCTATGTTTACCAACATTTCCTACCAGGGTAAAAAGAAAGGTAATAGTTACAGTGCTTTCTGTTGCTGTCTAATCAAAACTACCCACTGCTTTTAAAATGTTTTACTTTGCTTTTAAAGCTCCATCAAATGGAAAATGTGTTTTCATTGCCCCCTTGTTTGTCTCATATATCTTCCACACAAAATACAATCATTTGCCACCTTAATTTGGCACAAGACGCTTTCACTGCAGCACTGCGAGACAGGCTTGTGATGAGTGATGTCATTCACAATATCGCCCGACTCTGCACATTTTCCACGTGGATACATTCAGTTAGCTGCATCACATAAAAATATCCTTTTTGCTGTTATCATTCTCATTAGACTAACCTGTGGTGATTTCAGCAAGAGTGAATCTTAACTTGCAAGTTAAATGTGCAAACTAACTCTGAGTATGAGTATTGCTTAACCTACACTAATCGTGAGTTGAAGTTTGTCAGTGTATGGCAGAAAGTGTCAGTGAAGCTGGAGTGGTGATTTCTGAAACACTGTCCATGGCAGAGCTGGGCTGGCCATCTGACATACCAATGGGTATGTGGGTCAGCGAAATTTATCATGGGGGACTCCCCCCGGTCTGCAGAATTCATCGCCGAGAACCCCTCCCCCACTTGACAAACTGCAGGGGACCCCAAAGCCCAGGGCCAAATTTTAATCCCACTCCAGCGTTGGTCAATAGGAATTCAGTCACTGAACACCATCCTGTTAATGCTTTATTTAAATGCCTCTCTCAAGCAGGCCTACCGAAAAACCGTTAACCAATCCCACGTTAGCAAAGTTATCATGACTTTCAAAGGCTTGAACTAAAGCGACTAAGCTATACGGCTGCATGACTTATTAGCCCACTTTATGCAGTAAGGTTGTTATATTATATAACGTTTAACCATCAGGACAAATGCTCTTGCTGTTGTGGCTGAAACTTCAGGCCTTTGCCAAACTTTAAAACATGTTACATTACTATCTTCTGAAGTTTCTACTATGACAAGTAATCAGCTAGCCAAAATATGTTACGTTCTGTGGCTTTTGGATTTCAAAGCCTTTATTATTCACTAAAATTAGGTCAATTTAAGAACAAATTCCCCAGTGCCAGGAAATTCCATATCTTTATATTCGACATGTAAAAAGGACTAAAAATAATTATCATTATTATGCTTATCAAGAGTTTTTTTCTTGCAACACAAAATTTTAGACATTCTTTTGAGAAAATCTGACCTCATTATTTGTGAACTTTATCGATTTTCGCTAGACCATGGGTGCGATATTATCTATCACTTAGTTTTGGCGAGGAAATGATCTGCTTTAGCTTTGACTGCAGGCAAAGTATAATTAACACAAACCTAAATTACTCCCTTTAAAGTTATTTTCATTTTAAACTACAAAGAAACAGTAAGGGACCGCTGATTAAACCTTCATATTTCCTTTTGTTGTAGCCTGCTTTTTTTATTTCTACTGCGAGCTTGACTTTCAATGTCTTTCCACTGCAGCCTTGTGGGCGTGATCACTGTCAAGTCATCCTGATGTTGAATTTGCTAGAGAGGTTGTTAGCATTTCAGTTGCTATATACTCAATCACATTGCAGTTCAGCCTGCAAGAGATTCTCAATTTGCATTCTGATATCATACAACCTAAATTACTGGACAAAAATATATTAGGTATTCAAGAATTTCAAATAAACAAACAAAAATCGAGTCTGCGATTAGGGAAACAGATCAGCTGGTGAATGCTTCTGGACAGAGATCATCTCACTTCATCTCAAACAAGTTACAGGTAAGGGTAGAAGATGAAATGGAAGAAATGATCGCATTTTTGTTTGGAGATAGAGATTTGCCACACAAGCAGCTCGGCGTATGTCAGCCAACACAAACACCAAAACTTCACCATGCCTCTGACGCACACGGCATGACGGCACTTAATGAGCCGGAAACATTGACTAGCCGTGTTTCACTCTTATTTTCACAAGCGACGAAATTAGGTCAAATATTCTCATCTGTTAAGGTGACTCAACCCCGTGACTCATGAGATGTTTAATGCAGCCAGAACGTCACAGTAAACAACCTATCGTGGACAATTAAAGCTGTTAATTCTTCCAATTCATTTAGTTGTTCAACAGATGGATTGCTGAAAGTTACCGACTGTGAAGCTGGCCATTCATAATCACTGGTTTATAACTTTATTAAGCAAGTGAATTAATTTTTCCAGAGTATATAATCAATAACATGTTACTATGCTCAGTGCTACTGAATAGCAGGTCTTTTATTGGGCCCAGTGATGGACTGGCATCCCATGCAGAATGTAGCCCAGCCATGTGTGGCCTGTTCTGCTTTGTATAGGGTCCATGACACTGACCAGGATAAGTAAGTATTCATTATATAAAAACTAGAAGCTAATCACATGACGAACAGTATAAATAAGGACCCAACTAGGTAAGTGTGGCGTGTGGCTCAGTGGGCTCTGCTTCTGTACGGGTGATTAGAAACCTGCCGGTTCAGACCTGGTCTCGCCATAGCTGTAGGCCCTTGACCCTCAGCTCCCTGGTGGTGGCTGCCATTCACTACCAGCTTGCTCACACCAACAGAGAGCAAATTGGGGGGAGGCATGCAGAGAATTTCCCCATGGGGATCAATAAAGTATCAATTATTATAATTAGAAATGAAGTTTCAATAATATTATTTTCTAGGTTTCCTATATCTTAATGATTTAAAGAGATATCTCCACTGCCATAATGAAATTCACGCATGCAATTCCAACTGAACTTGACAGCGGAAATCTGTCTGGCGATTTCCACATTAGGAATTCTGTTCAAAGTTCCTTACTGCCTTTGTTTAAGAGGCCGAAAAAAGAAAAACTGATTGCCAAAATATGTAAGTTGGTCCTTCGCAGCTAATGAGAGACTTCATGCTCCTTTAGATGTTAAGTCATAAGTAAATATTGCAGGCAAACGTATAAATACTTGACTGGGAGAAGTGCCTCTCAAAGATAACATGGTGTGTCCTGTTAATACGAGGATCATCATCTCCCAGACTGCCACATATGAAAGGACAAGGAAAGGATGCGACGCTTCATTCGAATAAAAAAATATCTACTTCTAGACAATGATTCGTAGCTTGACATAAATCAGTGCTTGATAGAGTACTGCATATAAGACCATTTTCCTGCTTTCAGGTTTTCTGGGTACTTTTGGGGCATTAGAGAAGCTCTGCACAGGGGCAGTGTGCACAGTAACAGTCTGATCATGTTACCCCCAAAGTTATACCATTAAAAAAAAAAACTGCTAATGCATGTTAACTCGGCAGCTTGTCCCCAGACTTTGAATGATGTTTCATTCAGGCAGAGTGAAGGCAGCCGTAAGCGCTGCCCCAGAAGCTTACAGCACAGCTCTCATGCTGGACGGAATGACACAAGCCCCACTGTAAAGCAGTGTGTGGCTCAGTGCGTAACGACACTGTGCATGTGACTGGAAGGTTGCATGTTCAAGTCCCAGGGTTGGCAGAATGATTCCACTGTTGGACCCTTAATCCAGCCCTTAACCCTCAGTTGCTCCAGGGAGGGTGTGACCCTGCCGTCTCAAAAATTTATGTTTACTCACACAGGAACAAAAGGTGGTGGTGGGGGGGGGGGGGGGGGGGGGGGAGGCAGTGTACACAAACATAAAAAGTGTGCAAACCCCCACAGATGTCCTGGGAAATCAGCGCTACTACGGCAACACGCAGCCCCCAAATGTTAATGGTCATCGTTAACAGAAATAATGAACAAAAACTACAATAATGGGGGAATGAATTTAGCATCGGTCTGTTAACTCACAAAATAATTTGGGGGGGGGGGCGGGGTACAGCACAGGCAGCCAGGCTGGCAATGGCGCAATGAAACATGCAAACCTCTAGACTGACGCCACTTATTAAAATGCGTCATTTAAAATGTTTAGGAATATACCTCAAGGAATGTGTCTGTTACTGCAGCCGGAGCAACGGACAGCTCCAGGTAGGGGCAGGGTGGCGACCCCCCCTTGGGACGCCGGCCGATGATTAACACGCTGACATTCGTGCAGCTGTGTCCATGAATGGGCCTGCGTTTATTAGACTGAGGCTGCCTGGCCCGGATCCCCCCGGACCACAGTCCTGGGGGCTCTTCCTAGAAAGTATTTTAATTTATGAGGCAGCTGACAGCAGGAACACCAGGTGAGTGGAGCCAGTACCCGATAAATTACCTCGAGAAAGTGATCAGAGCTTGTACCAAGTGAAAGGCAGAACACGGAAGCAGCTGCGGACGAGCAGGACCAGGCCCCCGCACCGTATGTGGTGCTAACACTGACATCCCCACGTTTGTCACTTACAATTTATTTAGCAGATGCTTTTATGGAAAGTGATGCATGTTTTTTGAGAGAGCGAGGTCAGCCAGTCCCTGGGGCAATTGAGGGTTAAGGGCTTTTCTCAAGGGCCCAGCGGTGACATCACTCTTCCTGGGGTTTGCACCGGCAACCTTCTGATCTAGGGCTCACTGTCTTAACCCACTAGGCTTCACCCTGCCCCAAAAGTACCCATTCATCTTCTGAAACCACTCGTCCTATTCAGGGTCAACGGGGGGGTGTCTAACACACACACCATTTGCACCTACAGGCAAACAGCCTCAGTCTGTTTTTTGGACCTTTTTTTTGGGGGGGGGGGGTGTTACCCAGAGAAAACCCCACAATGACATGGAGAGAACATGCAAACTCCACACACATGGAATCCTGGTGGAGACTCGAACCCAGATTCCCAGAGGTGTGACAACAGCATTAACCACTGCACCACCATGGCACCCATCACAAAACGTGTCATTTGCCAAAAATAAAACAGGAACCCCATCCCAGGATTAAAGCATGACGCTTCCTGGGCAGGTCGACTGCACTGCAGGGAGAGCTGTGCACTTCAGGCTGATCCGGGTGGATCCTCTCAATTAATCACAGGCGAGTCTGTGAAAAACACCTTTTTCCCATTATGGCTGCCACGGGCCAGCGGTATCGCTGGATCTAAAGGGCCTAGTCGATAAAAAGTGCCCTGTTGGTGATCAAGCCTTAGACCTTTACCTTCTTACCTTCAATCCTCTTGGATGATTCCACTTGACAAATGTAAATAAGCAAAACTGTCATACCCTTACGTGGTCATATGCAAATATGAGGAGGGTGGAGAGAGTATTATGTGGGCATGGGGTCCAAATGAATGTATATTACCCCATCTGCTGAGATTCCCAGTATGCTTCTGCCACCAATAACACTCAGATATTTTAATGCAATGTACTAACTGGGCATGTAACGTGCAGTGGTGAGTCTGGGCTGGGGATGGCGGTATTCAAATTCAAGGCAAAACGGCCACATTGGGAAGCTTGGCTGTACAATCAAACTCCATTCACTAGATTTAACAGAATTTAAAAAAAGAAAAAAAAGCATTGATGCCCCTTCCCATTTACAGTAATCAATAGTCAGTCTTCAGTACAAAAAAAAAAAAAAGCTGATTAGTGCAAGGAAGGTATTTTGGTAATAAATTCCTCCACACATATCAGATTCACCAGTAAAGAAACCATAGATGTATGAGAGGCATAATTACCTACTAGAATCATCCCTTTGCACGATCCACAGGGACCCACAGTCTGGCTTCTTCCAGCCTGTCTAACACTCCTCCCCCCACGGGGGAGAGCCGTCTGAAGCCTCCCGCGGAGTTTTTAGCTGGGCAATGCAGCCAGGAGGTGGGAGGAAGGGCGACAAACCAAACAGAGCTGACATGGGCAAACTCCTTAAAGCAGCTCCGCTGCTTTCTAGGGCTCGCAGCCCTTGTTTTGAAAAAGTTCGTTCTTTTTTTAGATGCACTTTTTCATTAAACCAGAAGTGACGCCCACCACCCTGGGCCTCAGCAAAGGAGGCTGATTCAGCTTGGAAACAGGGGAAGTCACAGGTTTAATACCTTAAGATATGAATAATATAACAACCTCCATTGCACACACATTTAGTTTTTTTTTTCAGGTGGTTGTGCAAATTTGGGAAGCACCAAAATTCTTTGCTTCATGAAGAGGTTAAACCCAGGGCTCACGGAAGCTGTCAGAGAATGAGCAGCAATGATCTACAAGCACATCAAAGTTAGACTAGACAGACGTCTGCACGTCTAGAAATAGGAGCCGTTCCCATACTAGATGAGCAAACCCTCCCACACGCTGAACAAAAACACTCAAGAGACCAGCAGCCAGCAGTAGGGTTCAGTTCCAGCTGATTTTATTTCCTCATTGAAAAAAAATTATGTACAGAAGTATATCGACAATCTGACAGGCAGTGACTTGACACGATTAGCTGGCATGAGTTTCCCCCTTGAAAATGTGTTTATGGCATGAGAAGACGAAACAATATTCTACACAGCATATTGCACAGGATGAATGAAAATAAAGTTATTTTAAAACGGTATATAAAAATCATGAACAACCACCTTAAAAAGGTAAGGGTGTCTAAGGATAGCTGTTCTAGTGCCTGTCCCGTTATAGCTCAACAACATACATAAACACACAATCTTTCCTTATAATACAGTCAAATGTACAAAGATGATCACGTTTCCTCTTTTTTCCTTTTAAAACACAACAGCTATAAACCTGAATTGGAAATACAAATGCTATTCACCATGCCATAAGATACTAAAACAACTGGCTATTTAGCCGACAAGTAGAAAAGATTAAATATTCAAATATGAGAAACGCAGTACGTAAGTTTTGCGAACTCAAATCGGCATCGTAATTGTGTTGTGAATATATATATATAGCCTATATATTCCAACCAGTGGTTAAAACTGAAGTTTTTGTTATAAAAAACGCCAAGAAACTGTTATTTAAAGCTACGAGATCTCTTTAAGATACTAAAAAAACCGCAGAAATGGCTGCTCAAAATACTGGTGTTGAAGCACATGTTTACAGGGGTATTGGGGTGAGATACTGTGTCTTTAAGGAGCCTGCAGATTCAAACTGTAAACATGTATAGGAAGCTGATTTTGAGATAACCAGCCACCTGGTCGTTAAAATTAGGAAATCCAAACAGCGATATACACCGATTGACACCCCCTTTATATATATTTGTACAAAAATACACTGAGAAAATAATCAAACGTTTCTTCTCTTTAAGTGTCAAAAGTCTACATTTAAATATAAAAAATTAAAAGTTAAAACTCTAGCCCTTCGGCGGATGAGACAGACGGAGCGGGTAATACACAAGACGTACGAGAACAAAAAGAGTCGAAAAATGTCGTTTGGCCTGTATAAATACATCTATATAAAAATGGCATCCGAATACATGTACAAGGGAAAAAATACACGAGGATGGAGAAATGGGCGAGAAATCTTCCCACTTAAGATCTGAGAAACCAACTCTAGAAGAAGTTTGGTCCTGAATTGTATACTATAAAGTTCAGCACAGATTTGAGTTCCGCTTGGATCCTGAAGTTAATGAAAACCGCTGGTGATTTTTTTCTTCCTTATTTCGTTAGGAAAAAAACGTGGCGCCATCTAGCCATTTAAATAACGCTAAACACTAGTTTTACTGTCCGACAGTCAACAGAAATCTCAGCAAAGAGAACAGGGTAACATGCGTTTTTTTTCTATAATTTTTTTTAAAAAAATCTTAAAATGTCAACCCACCTTGGACAAAAATTCATCACGATGAAAAAAGAAACCGCTTAAGACGCCTATTTCTGTACCTCTTAAGTTCACGTGGCGATTATAAAAGTTCCCGAACGTCCAACATTGATACAAAGTAGCGGGCCGGAGCCGCGCATTCGACGTGCAAATCAATCACAGTTTTCCAGTTCAGACCGAGTGTTTATTTCAATAGGATCCCAGTCGCTCCTATAGGGGAAAGCTCTCGCGTGATGCCCCCCCTCTTCTGCCGGCAAAAACACTCTCCAGCTCTGGCCCTTCCGACACCCCGCTCCTCGATCCTTCGCACAAGCGTTATAATCTTTAATCAGCGCACCCTGTCCTCTTTCCTCCAGCAGGACATTTGAGGTATGCAACGCACCCCTCGGGTGATCTTCGGATCGCAAATGCATGGTTTTTTTTATTTATTTCACTCTTCCTCCCCGTGTCGGGATCGCGCTCAATACGTGAACACCAGGTTGGAGATGGTCGACTCAAGCCAGTCACCCGAGATCATCTCGCTCACCTCCGGGGTGCAGTAGTCGGGGAACTCGAAGTGGGAGCCGGAGCCCGACTCGAAATTGAAGTCCAAGTCCCTGTCCAAGACCGACGAGCCGAAACTTCCCAGCGACATGCCATCGAAACCGGGACTAGGGTTTATGTCCAGCAGGTCGTCATCGAGCTCCTCGTCTGAGGACGAGGACTGGGAGGACGACGATGAGTGGGAAGCGGAGGGGGTTGGCGAAGACGCCCGCATGCCGGTATACCGGTGGTGGTCGCTGGACGCGCCGGGGGACTCCGGTCCCTCCTTGCCGCTCGCCGCTCCGTCCTCGTAAAGGCTTAGAGGGTCACTGGATTCGGCGGAGCTACTCAGAGTGGGGCTGGCCGGCACGGCGACTGACGAGGGACTAACGCTGTGGCTACCCCCGCCGAAGATGTAGACCCGCTTGGCTTTCCGCTCGGAGATCTGCTTGGCAGCCGAGGCAGACTTTGATTTGTAGAGCGAGTGGTGATCCGCCGCCGCCGAGTGCGAGACCGGCTCCGAAAGCGCCGCCTTCCCGTTCCCCAGCACGATCTTGTGCGTCTTGCCCGACTTAGAGCCGCTGCTCTTTTTCAAAGAGGGCTTGGAGCCAGGGCTGCCGTTAACCTTATCCCCCTTTTCGCCAGACTTGGAGCTGCTTGACTTGACCTTCTTCCTCGGCCGATACTTGTAATCGGGATAATCTGCCATGTGCTTCAAGCGAAGCCTCTCCGCTTCTCGAATGAAGGGAATTTTGTCGCTGTCTTTAAGGAGCTTCCAGCGCTTGCCCAGGCGCTTAGAGATCTCGGCGTTGTGCATGTCCGGGGACTGCTCCATGATTTTCCGCCTCTCGATCTGCGACCACACCATAAAGGCATTCATCGGCCTCTTGATGTGGCCGCTGGGCGTCTTGCACCAGCCGAGGTCCAGTTTATCTCCAGTGGACGCCGTGGAACCAGGAGTCGGCGATGAAGCCATGTCCAGGTCCATGGTTCCCGAGTCGCTCGACTCGCCCGCGAACACCGCCTCCGTGTTCTCAGCGCTGTTAGTCTTCTGTACCATAGTTCAGTAACAAGTGTGCACACTTTATCGCAAGCGGAGTCTCTCCGCCTCTCCGACGCAGAGCAGCCCTCGGCTTTCAGCTCGCTATGATGCAAACTTCACTTCTTCACTACTCCTATACGCTTCAGTTATAAGTTCTACCAGTCCCGAGTCGGGTTAACAAAACCAGAGCATGCAGCAGATAATGCAGTGTTAACAGATGGGGAAGGGGGGGGGGAGAAACTTCCTTGTCAGGTACCTGCCGTGCGATTCAGTTCCGCGGGTAGGAGGAAAAAAATGTTTCCAATTGCTAGTGCGCGTCTCTTAATTCCCAGGCACCGGCTTATATGCAAGTTTCAAAGCCGAACCTGTCGCACAGGAGTCCCAAACTCATACGCTTTTTGTCTCAGCACACCGCCGAGTCGCCAGTCGTTCTCCCAAGCTTCTGCGATGCCTCTGTTTTTTGCATAGCCTTCCCCCTTTCGCACCACGCGGGAAGCCCAAGCGGTTATAAAAACCCTCTTTCTCCCTTTCTATGCTCTACCGTCCATCTGCAGTCTCAAGTTTTAGCAGACAACAGTTCCGCCTCACGCCGCTTTATCCTTTCCCAGCCATATAATGACGAAAGGAAACAGCCAATCGGCTACTGTCTCTATCCTTTCTTGTGTCAAAACCACGCCCCACCCAAGCCCATTGGCGGAATAAGAAATCTAATAACAATCAGTGTGTGCAATGAGGAGCTTTATGTCTGACCTCATTCCAGTGTACACTGCAAACTTAGTTTTAAAGGGACATGCTTATGTACTTATTCATTTTTTCTAGGCATACATGGAAATAAATTACATTAGATTTAAGCTCCCAGAAAAGGAACAATCTAGTGATGGTTGTAAAGAATGGCATCGGTTTTTTAAACATCTGAATCCAATACAATTCAAATTCTCAATTTAATAAGCAATGTGTCAGTTTGGTTTTTTGTAGCTATATATGTGTGTGTGTGTGTATATATATATATGTGTGTGTGTGTGTATATATATATATAGCAAAAATGGAAGTAAATGTTTTAAACAAAGTGTTTTGGGGGCATGGATGTGCATACTTTAACGTTTATGATGGAAAATATCTAACACCAGAAAGCTATTCTAATTTAGATATTTACGTATAGAAATACAGACAGCCCTATGTAGTTTTCCAAAAAACATACATTCGCGTAATTTAAGGCAAACAATGTCTCCTATTATTTTTTTAATTTAAAGTATCTACCTTTCCTTTACAGAGACGGAAAGCTTAGCGGCTGCTTCAGTCCTGCCGTCTGAATTGCATTTAAGTGTTGTGAGAAGACTGTCCCCACAGGCTGCACTCAGACTGTCTTAGAGGGCGGAGTCGCTGAAATGGCAGGCGGTTCTTTGTCACATCAAGCGGGCCACGCACCATCGCGAACACCGGGGGCTTCGGGGAGGCGGGGCGCGTAGTGAAAGCGTTCATATGGAAAACGGGGCTCAGCCACAGTCTGTCGATTCGCTTAAGGCGAGCGATTTGGCTTTGAGCGCACCCAGAATCGCTTCATCGCCCAGTTCTTCCTATCTAACACACGTGTACGCAATGCATACATGCACTTACAAACGCGATCTTAAACATTTAATTACACAATTGCCGTACTTCTGAAGTTTATTTCAAACTTATTTTTGTAAATTATTAATTTTTTTCCCCACAAAGCTAAGCAACATCCAGGAGAACGCAGGCATTAGCAAGCAGAGCCGCACGCTACCTAGGCATACTCCTGCGGTTGAACGGACAGTGGGAAGCGGGAGCGCGCTTACCGGCCTGCACTTGAAGCTGTGTTTGTCTGCGACGCTAGATGGCAGAATGGAGCCAAGGGACGGACGAGGCTGGCGATGTCGCGTTCAGTGGGCGCCGGAGCATGGACCTTTGAGCGAATTACATAATGTAACTCAGACGTTTATTAAGTGTGCAAATTACAGAACTGTTTAACCGTGTTTGTGGCCAAATGTGTTCAGTAAACAACCAAAGGTTCAACCCTCAGCCACCTCTTAGCATAACCAGGTAAAGGTCAATTTATGACATAAATTAATGTGCTATTTTCCCTGCACGCTGACCCAAAGGTGTATATTACTAACTGAATGTGCAAGTAACTAATAAATTACTATGTGAATTAGGAGGTAGCACGTGCACGGACGCAAATAAATGAAAACTCCATTTAATCTTTCCACTGTACTGTGTGTAGTCTACTGTCATACTCAAGAATAAATTACAGTTAAAACTATATTTACATATAATGAACGAGCAAATCGGTAATCACCTTTATGGTAGCCCACGTTATCACTTTCAAGTCCAGCAGGGTGGTTATTCAGGCTTGTGGTTTAAAGTTTTCACACTTATATCTGGAGTTAAAAATATTTAAAAAACCTATAGTGATTATAAAACAAAAATGAGAACGGACAGCCAAAATGCACATTGCTTGCAATGTCATTTAAGCTTCTATACAACCTGAACAATTTCTATTAAACATGTTTAAAGAGTAACATCAAAGCAAATGCCATGCATTTAACGAGCAGCTTAGAGGAGTCGGTGGCAGGCGCACGTGAAGGCGCACGCACCAGCGTGTGTGTTTGCGCAGGGAATGCGGGTTGTCTGAGGAGAGGACTGGAAGCTCCTCAGTAATTGATGATCCTTTCCTAATTATTATAATGGAGCTTCTCTGCCTGTTTCTTAGTTTCTATTGGAGCGATGTATGTCGGCGCCTGGTTCAGCCTGCGCGCTCGCGATGCGCGGGAGAGTGTCGCGTGGAAGCTCGACGCGCGGCAGGTGTGGCCCGTGGCGGATTTGGCGCGAAACCGGTCTGCAGTTCAGGTAAGGGGCGCAGTCCGTTACAAAACCACCCAAAACAAACAAATAGAACGTTAAAATATTAACGCCACTCCAGTCTTTTTTATAAACATGTTGATAATATCATCAACAATTTTACGGCTGGCTTCATTTACGGCGAGTTTTTTAAGTTGCTGGATCGTTTAAATGTGTTTATGCATGCACGCACACACGCAAACACACACATATGTATATATATATATATATAAATGCTTGTGTGTACATTACGTGTATAAAAAAAAAAACAGTAGTTTTCCAGTAAAATGAGTTGTGAAGCATCTATTCCTCAACTTACATTTTTTTTAAATGTTCTGAAACATTCACTAGCATTTCTGAGGCTGGAAAGTGTTACCTTTAAAAAAAAATTCAGGTTATTAGGGTCATCTAGGCAACCGAAAGTGTGTATATGGAACAAAGGGAAAAAATGCATCTATTATTTTGAAAAAGTATCCGTAATCTGAGATCACTTATCACAGGTTTTTTTTAAGTGTTGAGAAAACAGTTTGTGGGGTTTTGATTTGACTCACAACAGCTACTAGTATATGCCAGAGAGGCAATTACTGTAATGTGGGATAACAATGATGTGATATGATAGAGAGGAAAGGGGAAAGCATGACCGTGATGGAGGATTTTATAAGTGGGAGCAGGTACGCCTTCATCGCTGCCTTATACCACATCTGGAGGAAACGCTTATGCTCACTCAGTGTGTATGAATCCCTTCATAAGCCGTCAGGCCCATGATGAATTGGAATGAAGCGCATCATCTGTATGACATAATTTGACAGATTTACACCAGGTGATTCCTGACAGGGCATTTCCTAGTGTCAGCTCTGAAAGGAAGGCCGTTTTTTAATACGGTTCGGAATTGAAATCCAAAGGTGAGGTGGCAGTGACTTTTTGGGTAGAAATATTGCATTTTGGGTTTCAAACAAGACCCCTGAAAAGAAAAGCAATATAGCGTAAAGGCAGTTATTATAATTCCCTTGACAATAAATTATACTTTCGTAGAGGTCATTTTTGCATAAACTTAAAATATGTGTCTTTCCTCAGTATTTCTTTACTTTCTATATGAATATATATGCTGGTATCACCTTTGGTCTGTACTTTCTGTCCTTCCTATTTTTTTTTTTTTTAAACAGCCATAAGCATCTGTGAAATGAGATTTGGTTTTATAAATGTGCACTGGAGAAAGCGGACATATGATAGTAATAGATTAATAATATGATAAAACTCCATCGGGTTGCACGTTAGAAAATGCAATAGTTCTTCCATGGGCCCCTTTGGCTTGACCTCCCTCAAGCACCAATTTATATCCATTTTCAGAACAGAAGGATCTTATCTAGTGGATTGAAGCAAATGATATTTGCTTTTAGCTGATTTTACTGCCTTATTCTGCTCTGTGTAGTTTTTGATATCAAAAACAGATCATTCAGAGTAAATCTGTATTATGCACTTCCATGAGGTGGTACCCTAGTTAACCGTATTGATCATTATATTATGATATGCATGTTTAAACAGGTGCAAAGGACATTGGCTATCTTATCTGAAGAGCAGCTGTTTGAGCTGTCCTATCTTTAAACTGTCTTTTTGGCCCTTGGCTTGCAGACGTGCCTGTGTTTTTGGTGTCAGGCTTTGATTTCTTTAAGTTCAGCTGTGGTGTATGGAACACCTGCTTTTCAAGGTTTCCAAGAATATTTGAAAAATCCTCAGAAATGGAGGGAAATGCAGGGTACTTTTATATAAATACATAAAAGGCTACATTTAGATTATGCATTATGTAATGCATATTTTTAAATTGTTTGATTTTGAAAAAGGTGTTGATATTTCAGTTGAGCATACATATATATGTGATTTTGGACAAAATGAATTAAATAATCAAGCATTTTTTCCTAGAATGTTTTCCCTGCTGACCCTGTAGTCAGAGAGATGTTACCTCACTTTACATAATTGTGTCCATTTATTACAAATGTGATGTATGATTCAGTGGGGACACCTCAGCTGGCTGCTGAGGACCTGCTCATTTCATTCATCTGCTCATCTGCTTCTGTTTTGGAGACCAACAGTAGACAGAAAGCGTGTGGAATTGGTTCTGTGAGGCTGTGAAATCCCCCTTATTACTTCCAGTATTACACAGTGGAGCCGAGGGAAGCTTTACAGCTGACACACAATGGACGGAGCTTAAATAAGGGCCTTCTTGATGACGTAGCAGGCCTGCTCCCACCTTCCAAGAATCGTTTTATTTATTATATATATGTTTTTTATGTGTTCCACTGCTGACACAGCAGACAGTTCAGAGGGTCTTCAAATGACAATTTGCTGTCCTGAGTCGCCTGACATGATAACTATGAAGATAGTGTCGGCTCCAGAATTTTAGGCTTTACCTTAAAAGTATGTCTGGATGTCTAATAAGTTCCCCATCCTGCATTTTTATCAATACTTGAAATGATACACTTTTGACTGATTTTCACTGATTCCCCCACTGTTTTGTTTTATTATTAGTGGATCAGTAATTCTGTCATGGCCACTATGCAGCAGACATGGTTGGTATGAATTGTATCAGCTTGTCGTGCACAGCCTCCTTTAGTTTGGCTGATGGTACAGTAGCTTAGCAATTTCAGAGGAGTTAATGTGAATGCAGCTCTTCAGTGACCTTTCCTTTCAGTCTCTGCCTTGGATATGCTGACTTGCAGTGTGACTGTACAACACTTTGGGTGATTTTTGTTTTCATTTCATTGCTGTAGATGCCTTTTTAATTTGCCATCTTGTGCCAGTGTTATAATCGATGGCATTTGATCATAAACTATATAAATGAATAAACAATAAAAAGGTTTATTCAGGAACAAGCTATTATAATTTGAAGTGCTGCACCATGAACAGATGAAAACATCACACATATTGTTTGATGCAATAAGGTTAAGCAGTGGTTAGTTGGGGATAATTTGTAACAAAAATGGCAAAAAAATATTTAAGTAAAGTTAGGAAATGTGCATAAAAGAGTGTTGAAATAATTCATATATATTTCTCTATGACCACAAGCTAAGTTGACATGTATGT